TATAACCTCAATAACACTCCCCTAAAGAATCCCCCATATAACCCCTTTAAGGCGTTTAGACTTTAAACCCGAAATCCAAACCCTAAACCCTACATAATCCCCCATATAACCCCCTTTACTAGACATCCGTGGAGTCCCTAGGGCACCCTTTGTCTAGGGTTTAGGATTTAGGGTTTGCCGGGTCTAGGGCTAAGGGCTTACTTTGAGAATCCGTTTTTTTGGGGAACGACATGTTTGCCTAAAGCAGGAGCGGCCGAATCGAATCTGGTCTTGGCTGCAGAGGCCATGAACTTATGGTTTAGGGTTTACGGTTTAGGTTTTAGGGGCTTAAGGAGTAGAAATGAAAATGGCAAGTGCATTATATGGGGGTTTCCCAAAATTAGGGATACCCTTTTGGGGGTCCCCATAATAAGGACTATAGTATTTTGGGGTCTATATTAGGGTCCCCTCATTTTGGGAAACTACCATATATAGCAGCTGCTTGAGGGATCCATTCTTCCCTTCCTTTACGAATAACAAGTAGCTAGCAAAATCCGCACGCAAGCATTCGATTCCTGTTGCATTTGATGTTCCTTAAGGGGTCTGAGTACAGAAGGCTAAACAGATCTTACTTGTTCTAAGTTACAAAAAAGGCAGTGGCGCCTACCTAAGGGTTCGATCTTGAGGAGGGCAATAGTGACCGACATAGCAGAGATTGCAGGCTAGTTGAGGAGTGTGCATGTTCTCTTAGGTAGAATCCCTAAGCCCTGAAACCTAAACCCTTAGACCCTAAACCCTTAACCCTAAAACCCTAAACCCTAAAACCCTCAACCCTAAACCCCTAGACCCTAAACCCTAAACCCGAGGTCTAAGGTGGTTTACTTGCTGTGGCGCCTGTCAGGATTTTTTGCAAAGAAGTCTGTACAAGAGTGATGTTGGACCTTTTTCTTTAATCACGAGGGCTCCCGACCAGTAGATGTAGCATATACCTACATTCTAATATAGTAGTTATATTCTACTTATTATGTAGTTATATCATACAGTTATATTATATTATACAATTATAAGATGCAGAAAAATGCAAGACTGGTCTTTCTTGAGGCCTTCCACGATTCTTAGGGGTCTGGAGAGCGCTTTAAAGCGGATGGTCTGGGTTCTACTAGGACCCCAACCCAGACCTCTGGGCAGATCTAGAAGATAGATCCCTCCTATGAGTTCCTAAAAGTACACAAGTAGTGTGTGTGGGGGGGGCTCTACTTTCTAGATCTTCCCAGGGGTCTGGGAATGCGGACACATATCAAAGAGTGCCGTCTATCATTGGCAGGAACCTTTTTTTTGAGGCACGGCGAACAAACTATCAAGGTCATCCTCAATCAAGGAAGTCCAACACTACCGTCACTGCCAGCCTTTGCTGTCTGTAAACTGGGTATAGGACATTACCATGTGGTCTGCCATGTGATTCTGGCTTCCGGCACGTAGCAACTTGCTCTACAGCTCCCCGAGCAAACATGGAGCCGGGAAGCAGCGTGTTAGACTACTGGCTTTTGAAACGGCCGCCGCTACATGAGCTATAGTCTAAACTCTTAGTATCCCCCTTAATAACCCTACAGTAGCCCCGCCTATATAATCCCTATAGAACCCCTTTTAAGGCATTTACACTATAGCTCACAGGGGGTTCCATGTTAGCTTGCAGGAACGATTTACTTCCTGATCCTTGAGGATCTTAGCATGGTCCCTTGGAACTGGATGGACGACAACCATGGGTGTGTGTCTAGGTTTGGGGTTTTAGGGTTTAGGGTTTTGGGTTTAGGGTCTAGGGTTTAGGCTTTAGGTTTGGGGTTTAGG